TCAAGGTCCGTTAAAGTTTATTACTTTCACAACAGGGTGTCAAGTGAGCCGCCACCACACCCACCGTTAACGACAACAACGCGCGAAGTATTACGTTACTCTGTAAACAAAAACTCCCTTCCTTGTTGGAGGTGGGTCAGATGTCAAGGTTACTGTTTAATTCTATTGAACAGAATGTTGTCCTTGATATTTAAGAATCAGTTTTGTCAGAACTGTTTACTTTTAATACATTTTTTATAATTTATTTCCGCTTCGGTTATAAAATTGTTTTTATCATGTTTTAAATCGATTTGTTATAAATTATACTTGTATAAAGTTTATGAATTAAAATTTCGAAAGAAGGTTTCTAATGAAGGGACTATTGGAAACAATCTGATGATGTTTTGAAATAGAATTAAAATAGTTTACATGGCATAATTAAGAGCGATACATTGCGTTATCGCCATCAACTACTTTCGGGTTTTGATTAGACTCGAAAATCACACGATTTGTAACGTTCACGAATGTCAAACCAAGTAATGAAAGCTTCATTCTTACATTTCGGTCGATGAATATCGAAAATTGGTCTTTCTCTGGAACTGGTCTGATTTCCCGTTACTTGGACATAGAAATCAATAGGACAGGAAATTGAAACTAATATGTTACTTCGGAGATTCATTCTTTGAGACTCCAATTTGTTTTTCTAAGTAAACAAGTTCAACTGCAAAAGTGACACACCTCAGTTTTTTCTAAACTTACGTTTCTTTCCTCAACAGTTTTTCTTCTGAATTTGCTTTCCCCTCTTCTTTTCGCAAACTCTCCACTTTATTGTTTACTGATTACGTTTTGCAAGTTGACAGACAAAACACGAGATGTATTGGTTTCTTATTATCCAATAAAACATTGGGAAATTTCCTTGAACATGATTCGTTAAAAGGTGTTAGCCACACCTTGTTCTACTTGCTTGATTGGCCATTTTTGTTGGTCACGCCCTGCATAAAGCGTATTGGCCGTGACTCGTTACCCATCTATATCAGAATCGCGAATCAAAGATAACAAAATATATCTAAGCGATCAATTTGCAAGCAATACACATTAATGTCAAGTAACAGTTATAATAACTGTTATAACATTTAATTGTCCAACGATTTTATGACTAGTTTGAGAAACACACAGATTAGAAATGAGTAAATACATTTATTAACTCAAGTTACAAACAATTCATCAACAGAACATAGCAATTAATCAATACATCGATGACTCATTAACAGAACATAACGGAAAAAAAAAAAAAAACGCAGATGGAGGGAGAGGTTAGAACCTCGTCCAATACCCTACTTCGTCCCCGACCGCATTAAGACGCGCGGGCATGCTTGCCACAAGATTTTGACAAAGCATGCCCTCGCGCAGCTTTTCCCAACGAACAGAGACGATGTCCCAAAGTTCGTTGGGATTGGCTGCGTTAATGGGGCCGCGGGCGAGCTCAGACCAAACATGTTCAATTGGGTTGAGGTCCGCCCCTCTCCCCGGCCATCCCATGTCCGCAACTTGCGGCTGTTGTTCTAGCCATCTTTTCACGATGCCAGCTGTGTGCACCGGGGAGCGGTCATGGACGAAGAAGAAACGTTCTTCTCCGTAGACGGCCCTCACCGTCGGCAATAACATCTGCTCGAGGATTTCGATGTATTGCACGGCGGTGAGGTGACCGTCTATGCAGACCAACTCCCCGGGACCAGCGGAGGACATCCATCCCCATAGACCTGTAAACAGAAAAAGTCAATAAAGTTGTGATTTATAAAATGCACAAGCAGATAAGTTGTCATGTTCAAAAGATTTAATGATACAAATACACAACATTAAAATACTCACCTATTGAAAAACGCCCGCTTCTTTGGATGCGCCACACGTACTCAGGATCATATCTGGTACAGGGTGGGCGACGCACCCACACAGGCCCGGTGTTCGAAGATGAAAAAATCTTCTCGTCGGAAAAGATTACGTTTTGCCAATCTTCGGCAGCCCACCGCGAACCCCAACCTGTCCATTTGGTTGCCTACGGTGAGATTTTGTTTTTGGGCTGCCTTTCGTCCAAACAGCTCGCCCTCTCGCAACCTATAAATAAAAAACATATGTATTATCCTGCTTCCTACATTTCTGTATACGCAAGAGCACGTTAATAAAAATGTCTGGCGGTTCAACATAGCGAAAGAAATACATTTCATTGGAAAATTGAAATATTATACTACAAATGTTACATACCTTCTCTTTACTGTGTTTATAGACACATCCAACCCCATCACCGATCTATGCGATGAGGCGGTAGCAAACGGACTAGCCTGCACTAAGTTGCTCATCTTGAGCGGGAAACCGGACGATCGCCCTGGGGACACAGAGGCGGTGTCCCGACCTTGTTTCAGTATTCTGGACACTGATCGTGATGATATCCTCAGGCACCGTGCGATATCCGCAATAGTTTTCCTTTTTTCTCTGTGAGCGATGAAACGCTCACGTAAGTCTTTTCCTAATGATTTAGGCAAGCTCATCAATACAGCACTTTCAGCAAAGCCTTTATATACTCTCGATTCCCTCGACAATTGAATTTAATTTCATGGTAACAGACATAAATAATATTGAAAAAAATCTAAAAAATCTAAAAAATTGTAATTATTATAAAAGTTACCCTATTTTTAATATTAATAATAACTGTCTTTGTAATATGCAAATCAGTACAACACTGCAATGCAGTATGTAACGCAGGTACGGTTAAAAAAGAGTAATGTAACAAACGTATTTTAAGATATGTACGTAATTATGTCTATGACCCCTGGATACTGTCAAAAAATATAAGAAAATCATTTATAAAAAATTTTTAATGAAATTACTTCACTTATTGTAAAATAAGTTGTGTACACCAATTAAGACCTTGTATGTATAACAGATTAAAAATGAATATGGTAAGAAACGTTATTTTAATACTGTTTTGTAAAATATTTATGTAATGTTTTAAAAATTGTATATATATTTTTTAGTTGACTGATGAGGGGCTTTACGCCCGAAACGTGCTGTTGTCACGTATCAACTAAAATGAGGGAAATAAAGTCAAGTGTTTATTTATAACTCAAATGTGAGTTCGAAGTCCAATGTATTCGCAAAACACGGTTTCGAAAACAACATAAAAAATTTCAATTATAGAAACGGCTATAACTTCCTTGGGTTGATCCCCCTATGTTTCCGGTAGCGCGAGCTTTTATAGCGTTAATGTGAGGTCCGTTTGTTGAGGATGACTCGCATTTCCTGACAGCTAAGTGTCAACTTTCCCACCTAACTTTCCTTTGATAGTTGGAGGAGCCCTGTGCTCCGATACTACGCGAAGAGTTTTTCTAGGGGGTGTTTACAAAATTTCAATCAACGAAAAAAAAAGGGAAAGTTTCCTTTCATTTACAAAATTTTCGCTCTAAAATCCGCGGTCTCACAGTGATTTTCAACTGCTTTCGAAAGTATTCTACATTTTTTGGTATATTATCGTCGTTTTCATTTTGTTTTATTGTGTTGGCAATTTTACGTTTCTTTGTTTACTTTAAAAAAAATCAATATTTTCTAATCTAACAACAAAATCATTTAGATATTTTAAATGGCTTAAATATCCCTACTTCTACATTTTTCGAAAATTAACGAGTAAACTTAATTGAGTGTATTTATGTAAAACACAATGTTTTTGAACTGTAATTAAGTAATTTTCTTAAAATTGATGTCTCACTTTTAATTTATATTATTTAACACCAATTTTTATGATGTTAAAATTACTAATAATTGCTATTATTCTAATGAGAATTAGTATGTAGACGTGTCTAAATCATAATTATTATAAATATGAGGCAACGAATTTAAATGAGTGATACAATATATAAAACACTAGAAAGTTTATTTCCTAAAAAACTGCGTCCGTATTTAATTAGTTTAAACAACGAATACCAGTTATTGATGAATACGAGAAGTGTGGAAACTGCTTATCCAGATGACACACCAGACGTTTAGTGTACAGTACTTGGTCTCGTGTATTTCTTGTATATTCGTGGTGGCGCACGAGTGATCCATTATATTCTGTGCCGGTTACAGCTAGAAGTTGAAAGGGTGCGTGCTACGGAGACATAAATCTTGGTGTATTTGTGTTTGTAGTAGTCCAATTTGTCCCCTATTTCATGTATGATCGAATGTAGATATTCTTATAAGTATGCTAATATTCCGAAATCGGGAAAACGAGAGAGACCCTGTCAATAATACCTTCTTACTGTGTTACCGTTTTGCATCACGAAGTGTTCTGAATCGTCGTATGTGAAGGTCTCGTAGATTCCACCAGCTGAAAAGTGTTCGTGGTATCTGTATGCTACCTACTTTACTTCTCATTTTCCCATAAAGAATAATCATTCCCCAGTAATGTTCGTGCGTATAAGGAAACCCAAGGTAATAAATGTATGTACTGTACTGTACACCGAAGTTGGTTGCAGTTTATCTAATAATTATTTGCACACAGAGCTTTAAACACGTATTTAATTGTGTATAAACGAAAACATTGTCAATTTTGTAACATTCACACGGACGATAACTTTTGTACTCATTAATTAAAAAATGAAGATAATCAAGAAATTAAATAGAAGATTATCATTTGTATTAATTTTACAAATTTTATAATATTTTACACGTTGTTAGCTCGAAATCTATTTATCAATACAGTGTGCCTCTCAACGTATTGTTTGGGAAATAGTAATGACATGTGGATGGAAAGAAGTCTGTTTATATTTGCTCCGATTTTGTGAAGATATTTTTAGTTTTTAATCGATTATACATTTTTTTACGTTTTAAGTGGAATTTTATTTTTATGAAGACATTGTTTTAATTTTCTGTTCTTGGAGAATTTGTTTATTACAACACTTTTTTCCATATTCTTCTTTACAAAAATGCGTTTATTTGCTTAAGACAAGTAATTTAATGTTTAGTTTTGAAAAGAAACTGGGAAAAAATATCACAAAGTAATTTTATTTTAACGAAATGATTAATCAAAAATTTTTAGAATTTGGTTACAAATATTTTTCTGCGATTCAAAATTGAAATTCTTTTCTCCCCATTCTTCGCACAAATTCCACGTAATTAATGCGACTCTTCTCGTCGGGATTCGCTTCTCGGATCATCTCTTCCACTTCGTCGTCTGTCAGCTTTTCGCCCAAATTTGTCATGATGTGTCGAAGCTCGGCGGCATTAATGAAACCTCGTCCTTCCTTGTCGAAGACTTTGAAAGCCTCGACTATCTCTTCCTCGTCGTCTTCGTCTCTCATCATTTTCGTCATCAGCACTAGAAAGTCGGTAAATTCCAGGATTCCGTTCCCGTCCGGGTCGATTTCTTCTTTTATTTCTTGAATCTCCGCTTCCGTTGGACTATAGCCCAAGGATCTCATCAACTTTCCCAGTTCTGACACCGGAATGTGGCCTTTTCCTTCTCTATCAAATAGCGCAAAGGCTTCCTTGAATTCGGAGATACGCTCTTCTGTCAAAGCATCGACCATCTTAATTCCTTTCCTATCTTACAGTTTTTTTTTTAATTCTTTAAGAATAACTTATTTGGGCCTCTTTAACAATGATAGAATTGTTAACAATGAATTATTGTTAAATAAATTTTTAAAGTAGAAAATATAATTTTCTGTTTCTGATTAAGGTAACTTCCATATCAAATAAACATTAAAATTATTCATTATAGATATAATTATATTATAATATATANTAAATTTGATTTTAAAATCCCATTAAAAAACAATTAAGCGTTAATCGCGCGTCATTAAAGGTTGATCGCATTAAAATCGCGATAAAATTTTTTTCGCGCGGGCAAAAAAATTTGAAAACATTTGGAGACCTAAAGAACATTACAGATTCAAAAAAATTTCGAGTTTTTCGTAACACTATGTAACTTGACCGAGATATCTCGGGCTTGGGGCTTAAGGAGAGGACACCTATGCTCAAATCATAAGGGATCTCTTTCCTGGTGATGACCCAGAAACTGACATTAATACTCACACCATGATCACGAATAACAGTCTGACTAGCATCACCACTAATAAAGACAGAATGTTCTCCTGCCAAGAGATTGTTAGGGAGTTCTCCAGGCTTAAGCTTTGCAAGGTGCCCGGACCAGATCTTATTACCCCCAGGATGGCGAAAATGGCCTTCGAGACCATCCCAACTACTTTCCCTGTCATTTTCAACAAATGCCTGCAACTAGGCCACTTCCTCTCCGTATGGAAAACTGCCTCCATTAAACTAATCCCCAAGAATAACAACCCATCGAAATCGTCAGACTATAGACCAATCTCCCTTCTCCCAATCATCAGGAAAGTATTAGACGGTCTAATGGTAAATGTTTGCTCAACAACCAGTATGGATTTAGAAAGGGTAGAAACATTGGACTCAATAGTAAATTTCATTCAGGATGCAAAGGAAAGGGGCGAGCACACCATGGTGGTCACCATTGACTTCAAGGGAGCCTTCGACCACGCTTGGTCGCCCGTTATCCTCACTGCTATCAAAGGTACGGGGTGCTCCAAGAACATGTTTGCACTGGTCAAGAGTTACTTAATTAATTAAGTAAGAGGAAAACAATAGTAATTAACAACGGCCATATCTATCTGCAAAAGGAAATCAACAGGGGCTGCCCTCAGGGCTCCAGGTCCGGGCCATTCCTGTGGAACATTATGTATGACAGCCTTCTGCTCCTGGGTTCCACATTCCCTGCCAACTACAACTGTAGGTTACAGGGATACGCTGATGATACGATTGTAGCCATCACCCACAGGACTCAGGCGATACTTCAGGCTCGGGCCAACAGCATTTTGCAGGCAATATCACAGTGGTGTCACAACAAGAAACTCATAATAGATTATGACAAATGTCATTGCGTGGTCTTCCCAAGGACCACGCCCCTACACAAGGGGCCAATCATCAATATGGATGGTCACCAAATAAAGAACAGTGAAACAGTAAAATACGTAGGAGTGATATTAGACAACAGGTTAACATGGAAGCATCAAGCCCACTACATCTATGAGAAGGCAGTGACGGTTATGCACTCTTTGTCCTCTATAGCTCGGAACCATTGGGGGTACGGCAGTGAGGCATGCCGCCTCGTGTATATTGCAGCTATTGAGACAATTCTGACATACGGTTCAGAGATTTGGAGGACGTCGATTACAAGAACACACATAAAAAGAAAGCTCCTCTCTGCTCAAAGGCTTGCTCTCATCTCGATCACCAAGGCATACAAGACAGCCCCAACGGATGCCCTACTACCGATAGCAAATCTAATTCCCATAGATCTGGTTATAAAGGAAAAAGTATGGATCTTTCACCATCGTAAGCTGGCCATCGGGACTACTATCAACAGTTTCAATAGGGTCACAAGTCACATAGATGTTGGCTCGGCAGCCACGAGTCTCTCTGAACATCTGTCACAATATAAATTGGATTACAACCCTCAGTACCTTAACTATCACCCAGAACCTCCTTCGATGATCTTTTCACCATGGAGGGTGCAGAGGTCACTACCGGCCTCTGTATCTACACGGATGATTCAAAGTCCGACAAGGGAGTGGGATGTTCCATCGTTGTGGCAAATAATAGCATAAACATCCACCAGGCTCGGTTCAGGTTGGCCAGTTATTGCACGGTCAACCAGGCAGAATCTCTGGCCATCAATAAGGCGCTACTCTGGGTTAATAATAACATGAACAATAGGGTTCTAGGGTTACAATTCTGAGCGACAGTCCAGTTGCCTTGTTGCAGCTCAAGAACATTAACACCAAACTGACAATAATCCAAGAAAGTATAGGCCTACTACTTACCTTACGGAACAGGATTACCATCAAGTTTATCTGGGTAAAAGGGCACTCTGGTGTTATTGGTAATGAGAGGCCCGCACAGCATCTGTATGGGTACAAAGTTGCTCCTACGGCAAAACTCCGTTCATATGGTTAAAGGAAAACATCCGCTATCATACATTGAAAGAGTGGCAGGCAAGATGGAACATCAGCTCAACAAGTAGGTTAACGTATAGTTTCATACTTGACATCCTCCAGCGTAGTAAATACAAGCATATAGTCCCTGCTTATCAAACAACTCAAATTACGACCGGGCACGGCAACTTTCGCAGTTGCCTTAGGAGGTTTTTGCGAAAGACCGATGGTAAGTGTCCATGTGCACTCAACGAAGACGAAAACCCAGAGCACATCATCTGGAACTGCCATCTATGAATTACAGAAGAAAGAACTAATCAGCGAAATCCAAAAACAAAACGAACTATGGCCGTGCCATAAGAATACTCTGATAAGTAACAGCAAAATATACAAAGCTCTTAAAAAATTCTCATTGGATATAAAAATCCTCGATTGAACCTCTCCTAGGGCCCTACTGCTCAGCCAATTGGTGTTACCGCATCTCTAATTGTTGGTATAATGTGGTATACTCTCATCCTGCAGTGTAGTATCTGCGTGGGTTTACTCACTTAACACTTTTCTATGCGGTACTTATTTCTTCTGGTATACATGGTATATAGATAATGCATTATATGTACTGTACAGGATCCGATCAAAATTCTTGTCTAACAGTCGATCCATTGCGCATGGGCGGAAGTCAATCACTTGATACGCCAGGACATCCTACCTGTTATCAAAGGCCTTTAGAGTGGACTGGTCCGATTTGCGCAGTAATAGGGGTAAAGAAATCGAGCCGGGGGACTTCAGTGTGCAGTCAAGCGTGATACGGGTAGACATTACTAGTCGCTCATCACTGCTTGCTTAGCGTCGGCCGTTTTTATTTTAAAATCGTAAAGTCACCGCCACTGATTATCAGAAATTATGATTCTATCTCTTATTTTGATACTTTTCTTTCTTTATAATGTTTTATTTATTTTATTTTCCTGTAATTAGAGACAATACGGCTTTAAAATAAACAGATCAGATTTCTCTTGCCAGTAGATTATCTCAACTTTCACCGATGCCTTTGTAATCGGATAGGAATTGACCGTGTTTCAAAGTCCAGTGTTAAGTGTTTATTGCTTTTGCGGTAATACGAGTAGAGCGGGAGAGTCCCTTAATGAACCGCGAAGTGTTTTATTACTGTTTAAACAACTTCTCCCCACTTGTTATTCTTAGTAACTAGAGACGTCTGTCAAGGTCCGTTAAAGTTTATTACTTTCACAACAGGGTGTCAAGTGAGCCGCCACCACACCCACCGTTAACGACAACAACGCGCGAAGTATTACGTTACTCTGTAAACAAAAACTCCCTTCCTTGTTGGAGGTGGGTCAGATGTCAAGGTTACTGTTTAATTCTATTGAACAGAATGTTGTCCTTGATATTTAAGAATCAGTTTTGTCAGAACTGTTTACTTTTAATACATTTTTTATAATTCATTTCCGCTTCGGTTATAAAATTGTTTTTATCATGTTTTAAATCGATTTGTTATAAATTATACTTGTATAAAGTTTATGAATTAAAATTTCGAAAGAAGGTTTCTAATGAAGGGACTATTGGAAACAATCTGATGATGTTTTGAAATAGAATTAAAATAGTTTACAGGGCATAATTAAGAGCGATACATTGCGTTATCGCCATCAACTACTTTCGGGTTTTGATTAGACTCGAAAATCACACGATTTGTAACGTTCACGAATGTCAAACCAAGTAATGAAAGCTTCATTCTTACATTTCGGTCGATGAATATCGAAAATTGGTCTTTCTCTGGAACTGGTCTGATTTCCCGTTACTTGGACATAGAAATCAATAGGACAGGAAATTGAAACTAATATGTTACTTCGGAGATTCATTCTTTGAGACTCCAATTTGTTTTTCTAAGTAAACAAGTTCAACTGCAAAAGTGACACACCTCAGTTTTTTCTAAACTTACGTTTCTTTCCTCAACAGTTTTTCTTCTGAATTTGCTTTCCCCTCTTCTTTTCGCAAACTCTCCACTTTATTGTTTACTGATTACGTTTTGCAAGTTGACAGACAAAACACGAAATGTATTGGTTTCTTATTATCCAATAAAACATTGGGAAATTTCCTTGAACATGATTCGTTAAAAGGTGTTAGCCACACCTTGTTCTACTTGCTTGATTGGCCATTTTTGTTGGTCACGCCCTGCATAAAGCGTATTGGCCGTGACTCGTTACCCATCTATATCAGAATCGCGAATCAAAGATAACAAAATATATCTAAGCGATCAATTTGCAAGCAATACACATTAATGTCAAGTAACAGTTATTATAACTGTTATAACATTTAATTGTCCAACGATTTTATGACTAGTTTGAGAAACACACAGATTAGAAATGAGTAAATACATTTATTAACTCAAGTTACAAACAATTCATCAACAGAACATAGCAATTAATCAATACATCGATGACTCATTAACAGAACATAACGGAAAAAAAAAAAAAAACGCAGATGGAGGGAGAGGTTAGAACCTCGTCCAATACCCTACTTCGTCCCCGACCGCATTAAGACGCGCGGGCATGCTTGCCACAAGATTTTGACAAAGCATGCCCTCGCGCAGCTTTTCCCAACGAACAGAGACGATGTCCCAAAGTTCGTTGGGATTGGCTGCGTTAATGGGGCCGCGGGCGAGCTCAGACCAAACATGTTCAATTGGGTTGAGGTCCGCCCCTCTCCCCGGCCATCCCATGTCCGCAACTTGCGGCTGTTGTTCTAGCCATCTTTTCACGATGCCAGCTGTGTGCACCGGGGAGCGGTCATGGACGAAGAAGAAACGTTCTTCTCCGTAGACGGCCCTCACCGTCGGCAATAACATCTGCTCGAGGATTTCGATGTATTGCACGGCGGTGAGGTGACCGTCTATGCAGACCAACTCCCCAGGACCAGCGGAGGACATCCATCCCCATAGACCTGTAAACAGAAAAAGTCAATAAAGTTGTGATTTATAAAATGCACAAGCAGATAAGTTGTCATGTTCAAAAGATTTAATGATACAAATACACAACATTAAAATACTCACCTATTGAAAAACGCCCGCTTCTTTGGATGCGCCACACGTACTCAGGATCATATCTGGTACAGGGTGGGCGACGCACCCACACAGGCCCGGTGTTCGAAGAAGAAAAAATCTTCTCGTCGGAAAAGATTACGTTTTGCCAATCTTCGGCAGCCCACCGCGAACCCCAACCTGTCCATTTGGTTGCCTACGGTGAGATTTTGTTTTTGGGCTGCCTTTCGTCCAAACAGCTCGCCCTCTCGCAACTTATGAATAAAAAACATATGTATTATCCTGCTTCCTACATTTCTGTATACGCAAGAGCACGTTAATAAAAATGTCTGGCGGTTCAACATAGCGAAAGAAATACATTTCATTGGAAAATTGAAATATTATACTACAAATGTTACATACCTTCTCTTTACTGTGTTTATAGACACATCCAACCCCATCACCGATCTATGCGATGAGGCGGTAGCAAACGGACTAGCCTGCACTAAGTTGCTCATCTTGAGCGGGAAACCGGACGATCGCCCTGGGGACACAGAGGCGGTGTCCCGACCTTGTTTCAGTATTCTGGACACTGATCGTGATGATATCCTCAGGCACCGTGCGATATCCGCAATAGTTTTCCTTTTTTCTCTGTGAGCGATGAAACGCTCACGTAAGTCTTTTCCTAATGATTTAGGCAAGCTCATCAATACAGCACTTTCAGCAAAGCCTTTATATACTCTCGATTCCCTCGACAATTGAATTTAATTTCATGGTAACAGACATAAATAATATTGAAAAAAATCTAAAAAATCTAAAAAATTGTAATTATTATAAAAGTTACCCTATTTTTAATATTAATAATAACTGTCTTTGTAATATGCAAATCAGTACAACACTGCAATGCAGTATGTAACGCAGGTACGGTTAAAAAAGAGTAATGTAACAAACGTATTTTAAGATATGTACGTAATTATGTCTATGACCCCTGGATACTGTCAAAAAATATAAGAAAATCATTTATAAAAAATTTTTAATGAAATTACTTCACTTATTGTAAAATAAGTTGTGTACACCAATTAAGACCTTGTATGTATAACAGATTAAAAATGAATATGGTAAGAAACGTTATTTTAATACTGTTTTGTAAAATATTTATGTAATGTTTTAAAAATTGTATATATATTTTTTAGTTGACTGATGAGGGGCTTTACGCCCGAAACGTGCTGTTGTCACGTATCAACTAAAATGAGGGAAATAAAGTCAAGTGTTTATTTATAACTCAAATGTGAGTTCGAAGTCCAATGTATTCGCAAAACACGGTTTCGAAAACAACATAAAAAATTTCAATTATAGAAACGGCTATAACTTCCTTGGGTTGATCCGCCTATGTTTCCGGTAGCGCGAGCTTTTATAGCGTTAATGTGAGGTCCGTTTGTTGAGGATGACTCGCATTTCCTGACAGCTAAGTGTCAACTTTCCCACCTAACTTTCCTTTGATAGTTGGAGGAGCCCTGTGCTCCGATACTACGCGAAGAGTTTTTCTAGGGGGTGTTTACAAAATTTCAATCAACGAAAAAAAAAGGGAAAGTTTCCTTTCATTTACAAAATTTTCGCTCTAAAATCCGCGGTCTCACAGTGATTTTCAACTGCTTTCGAAAGTATTCTACATTTTTTGGTATATTATCGTCGTTTTCATTTTGTTTTATTGTGTTGGCAATTTTACGTTTCTTTGTTTACTTTAAAAAAAATCAATATTTTCTAATCTAACAACAAAATCATTTAGATATTTTAAATGGCTTAAATATCCCTACTTCTACATTTTTCGAAAATTAACGAGTAAACTTAATTGAGTGTATTTATGTAAAACACAATGTTTTTGAACTGTAATTAAGTAATTTTCTTAAAATTGATGTCTCACTTTTAATTTATATTATTTAACACCAATTTTTATGATGTTAAAATTACTAATAATTGCTATTATTCTAATGAGAATTAGTATGTAGACGTGTCTAAATCATAATTATTATAAATATGAGGCAACGAATTTAAATGAGTGATACAATATATAAAACACTAGAAAGTTTATTTCCTAAAAAACTGCGTCCGTATTTAATTAGTTTAAACAACGAATACCAGTTATTGATGAATACGAGAAGTGTGGAAACTGCTTATCCAGATGACACACCAGACGTTTAGTGTACAGTACTTGGTCTCGTGTATTTCTTGTATATTCGTGGTGGCGCACGAGTGATCCATTATATTCTGTGCCGGTTACAGCTAGAAGTTGAAAGGGTGCGTGCTACGGAGACATAAATCTTGGTGTATTTGTGTTTGTAGTAGTCCAATTTGTCCCCTATTTCATGTATGATCGAATGTAGATATTCTTATAAGTATGCTAATATTCCGAAATCGGGAAAACGAGAGAGACCCTGTCAATAATACCTTCTTACTGTGTTACCGTTTTGCATCACGAAGTGTTCTGAATCGTCGTATGTGAAGGTCTCGTAGATTCCACCAGCTGAAAAGTGTTCGTGGTATCTGTATGCTACCTACTTTACTTCTCNGATGACTCGCATTTCCTGACAGCTAAGTGTCAACTTTCCCACCTAACTTTCCTTTGATAGTTGGAGGAGCCCTGTGCTCCGATACTACGCGCAGAGTTTTTCTAGGGGGTGTTTACAAAATTTCAATCAACGAAAAAAAAAGGGAAAGTTTCCTTTCATTTACAAAATTTTCGCTCTAAAATCCGCGGTCTCACAGTGATTTTCAACTGCTTTCGAAAGTATTCTACATTTTTTGGTATATTATCGTCGTTTTCATTTTGTTTTATTGTGTTGGCAATTTTACGTTTCTTTGTTTACTTTAAAAAAAATCAATATTTTCTAATCTAACAACAAAATCATTTAGATATTTTAAATGGCTTAAATATCCCTACTTCTACATTTTTCGAAAATTAACGAGTAAACTTAATTGAGTGTATTTATGTAAAACACAATGTTTTTGAACTGTAATTAAGTAATTTTCTTAAAATTGATGTCTCACTTTTAATTTATATTATTTAACACCAATTTTTATGATGTTAAAATTACTAATAATTGCTATTATTCTAATGAGAATTAGTATGTAGACGTGTCTAAATCATAATTATTATAAATATGAGGCAACGAATTTAAATGAGTGATACAATATATAAAACACTAGAAAGTTTATTTCCTAAAAAACTGCGTCCGTATTTAATTAGTTTAAACAACGAATACCAGTTATTGATGAATACGAGAAGTGTGGAAACTGCTTATCCAGATGACACACCAGACGTTTAGTGTACAGTACTTGGTCTCGTGTATTTCTTGTATATTCGTGGTGGCGCACGAGTGATCCATTATATTCTGTGCCGGTTACAGCTAGAAGTTGAAAGGGTGCGTGCTACGGAGACATAAATCTTGGTGTATTTGTGTTTGTAGTAGTCCAATTTGTCCCCTATTTCATGTATGATCGAATGTAGATATTCTTATAAGTATGCTAATATTCCGAAATCGGGAAAACGAGAGAGACCCGGTCAATAATACCTTCTTACTGTGTTACCGTTTTGCATCACGAAGTGTTCTGAATCGTCGTATATGGAGGTCTCGTAGATTCCACCAGCTGAAAAGTGTTCGTGGTATCTATATGCTACCTACTTTACTTCTCATTTTCCCATAAAGAATAATCATTCCCCAGTAATGTTCGTGCGTATAAGGAAACCCAAGGTAATAAATGTATGTACTGTACTGTACACCGAAGTTGGTTGCAGTTTATCTAATAATTATTTGCACACAGAGCTTTAAACACGTATTTAATTGTCTATAAACGAAAACATTGTCAATTTTGTAACATTCACACGGACGATAACTTTTGTACTCATTAATTAAAAATGAAGATAATCAAGAAATTAAATAGATTATCACTTATATTAATTTTACAAATTTTATAATATTTTACACGTTGTTAGCTCGAAATCTATTTATCAATACAGTGTGCCTCTCAACGTGTTGTTTGGGAAATAGCAATGACATGTGGATGGAAAGAAGTCTGTTTATATTTGCTCCGATTTTGTGAAGATATTTTTAGTTTTTAATCGATTATATATTTTTTTACGTTTTAAGTGGAATTTTATTTTTATGAAGACATTGTTTTAATTTTCTGTTCTTGGAGAATTTGTTTATTACAACACTTTTTTCCATATTCTTCTTTACAAAAATGCGTTTATTTGCTTAAGACAAGTAATTTAATGTTTAGTTTTGAAAAGAAACTGGGAAAAAATATCACAAAGTAATTTTATTTTAACGAAATGATTAATCAAAAATTTTTAGAATTTGGTCACAAATATTTTTCTGCGATTCAAAATTGAAATTCTTTTCTCCCCATTCTTCGCACAAATTCCACGTAATTAATGCGACTCTTCTCGTCGGGATTCGCTTCTCGGATCATCTCTTCCACTTCGTCGTCTGTCAGCTTTTCGCCCAAATTTGTCATGATGTGTCGAAGCTCGGCGGCATTAATGAAACCTCGTCCTTCCTTGTCGAAGACTTTGAAAGCCTCGACTATCTCTTCCTCGTCGTCTTCGTCTCTCATCATTTTCGTCATCAGAACTAGAAAGTCGGTAAATTCCAGGATTCCGTTCCCGTCCGGGTCGATTTCTTCTTTTATTTCTTGAATCTCCGCTTCCGTTGGACTATAGCCCAAGGATCTCATCAACTTTCCCAGTTCTGACACCGGAATGTGGCCTTTTCCTTCTCTATCAAATAGCGCAAAGGCTTCCTTGAATTCGGAGATACGCTCTTCTGTCAAAGCATCGACCATTTTAATTCCTTTCCTATCTTACAGTTTTTTTTAAATCTTTNGCTAACTTTACTCCGTCGTATCGAGTTTGGCTAGATCTCCCTCTCTTTTTCCTTTTTTGTGGAGTGTATTTCATTGACATTTCCGGGAGTCTCTCGTCACACATTCTTTTCACATGTCCAATCCAAATAAGTTGTTTCTTCTTTATTTCTTCCAAAACCGTCTCCTTCACTCATTACGTCTTTGATTCTCTCATTAGTTATTCTTTCTCTTTTTGCGAAGATCTTCTCAACGCATCCATTTCAACCGTTGTTATTTTTCTCTTCTCTTCCCCAGTCATTCTCTATGCCTCCGCCCCGTATAACAGAATGCTTTTAACAATAGCATTATTTATTCTTATTTTTCTTGATCTAGTTAATTCTTCATTCTACCATATTCCATTTAATCTTTTAACTGCTCTCTTATCTCGCGCTAATCTTTCATTAATTTCTAGTGTATCTCTTCCATCTTGATGAATTTGTATTCCAAGATAATTGTTCACATCTCTCAATCTTTTTTCCTTCTTCCAGTTGCGTGTCTGTTTTAGCCCCTCCTATGCATAAATATTTTGTTTTACTCGTGTTTATATAAAAACCTCCTTTAAAATATTCATCTTTTATTTTTTTCGTGTATTTTAGATCATCCTTATCTTCTGCCATTATCACCCGATCATCTGCAAATTGCAATACAAACGTTAGTTTAACGTTCATGTCTATTACCATATTACAACATTTCCTTTTCCATATTTCAATACTCCTTCTTCGTAGATTTTAGATAAAGTTGGCGAAATACAACATTCCTGTCTTAATCCTTTTGATACCATAAATCCTTCTGATATTTTTTCAATTTTTATTTTCGTTATGGATTCTCTATATAATTCTTTAACTGCTTTAATAAACGTGTTATTAATATTTATCTCTTTTAATGTCTCCCATAATTTTGATGTTGAGACATTATCGTATGCTTTCGTTAAGTCTATAAACAACAAATGAGTTTCTTGTCCTGTTGCTAATCTTTTGTTCATAATCTGTTTCTTACAGAAAATACTGTCCATGAATGATGTTACTGTTCTGAATCCACTCTGCTTTTCTCTTTCTTTCGATTAGATCTTTTATTATTCGTCCGTATAATCTACTAGAATTATACGCAACAAGAACTGCTGCAGACGAATCTTTCAATGCACGCTGTAGGGATTTTAAAACGTTGCCGTTTGTAAATTGATTCAATCGATTGTGTATTCTAGAGGGTAACATTTCACAGAAACAATGTCACAATTACATATAATAGAAGAATTCTGTTACCAACTTAATATTTTGTAAGTTTTCATCTTCATTTGCACATAACTATGTGTGTAACGGTTATACATGTTATGTTTATACAGCGCGATGGTAAAGTGCCTCAGCTGTGAACGGGAAAAGGGCAGAAGCTTCTAGGAATGAATTAATGACGTCACAGGAAGATCGCGTGTCGAAAGAGTTAAGGAACAACAGGCGTTACCGGTCGTGAGAGTCAAGGAAAACACCGCGTTGATTAGTGAATAAATACATTTATTAACTAAAATAATAGTAATACAGTTACAATCCACTATCTCTGTAGCTAGTACATTTTTCTTTGTCTTATTTCTTTTTTATTTATCTTGTGGAGATTTAACTTGCGATTTTTTTTTTCATTCCCGAGGATCGCACAGTTCTATTATTAGTATGATTCTTTTAGTTTTTGATGAATCTCACATTTCATCTGATGCTCTTGGATTTTCAGGATGATAACTTAAGAAGCAGGGTAGATAACATTGTGGTGTAGTCCTATTTTCAGTGAAAGCAGACTTCGTTATGTATACAGAAATACGGTATGTCTTATAACAAAACGCACTTTTCGAAACATTCAGAGATAGCTAATGAAAACTCAATCCAGTAAAGAGCCATTGTGGAAAAGGAAGGAGTGAAAGCAATCAATTATAGATAATTCAGATTTCCATAATATCGAGTTGAGGAGGAGAATATTCTCATTATAAACTCTTCTGAAATACTTGTATTAGTCTTCAGAATAATTTTTCTCAAATTTTTGATAAATCGTTATTGATTATTAAAAATTATTCATGGTTTCTGTTTATGTTCAGTAATAAGGAGGGAAGTGAACAGTTCGATTTCTTTGTCTAAATCTTGCATAATTCGTTGAACTTTCATTAAAGACGAACGTTTACAATTTTGTGAAAGAAATTACAATAAACTTATTAAGGTCTTTCTTTTGAAAACTCGTTTTCTCAGTTTGAAGAAACTGTTACTGTTTACATTCGATGGATTTTCTGATTGGACTCGGCGAATAAATCAGGTGTCAGACGGGAATTCATTCTACTCAGTTGGATGAATGCTGCACATATTATTATAATATAGATAATTAAAAAATAATATAGAATCTGATAAGTTTGAATAGACGAAAGTTTTGATCTATTCGCATCGATATCTATTCCAGCGCTGGGTTTAGTTAACACGAACTCGTCCATGCTGTCGATGCGATTTCGTAATTCTTTGAGTTTATTATTTCTCAACCTTTCTAATGCGAGTTTCAGCCAATCACTTTCTGTCTTTAATAGCCTCGCTGATGGATAATTAGTTGCAGTCATCGGAAATTCTCTTTCTGGTGTTATATTTCTAATATGGGCTTTGGTGGTAGAACGAGACAAGAGTCGATACAAATATCTTATGTAGTTGTAGTTCTGAGTATTTTTGGGTAATTTTCGAGATTCTTGTGGATACCGTTTCTCACGGAACATACTAACGTAACTTTCGTCTTCTGTTCTGTGGTCGACAGAATCCAAATGTCTACCTGGAATGGGTGAAGCCTTTGACAAAATCAATAGAGAGGATAAAATCAAAATTGAAATATAAATGCAAATCATTGCTAGCGAAATCTTTCTTTGTAAAGAATACATCTTAACAATAACGGTTTATTGTTACGTTGGTCTATTATTCAATTTCTGTATTGTCGATTTTAGATAACCTTGTATAATTTGAATCTGTTTTTAAAATGAAGACTTTTTCTAAAATTATAAACCAGAGAAAATCGCGAATAAATAATTTTGAATCCAATCAAATGTGTAAAAGATACGTTTATTCAAGATTTTTTGTGGAATTAGATTGATATAATTTATCATTATGCCATAAAAGTATAGTTTTTAATGTAAATCTCTTTGAAAAATTTTAATTAGAACAGTAAATTAGCAACGATGGTGTTATTTATAACCTTGTTTATATTAAGTTACTAGCTGTTACCAGCGACTTCGTCCGCGGAGGTTTTGCAAGCAAACCCCATTTACATTCAAAATTTCAATAACCATAGTAATTGTTATATAACACCTACCGCTGAAGAGAATTGCTCAGAATCAAACGAACTGTTTTCAATTTGATCAATTTTCTGGAACGTTTACAATCGTTCTATAATCGAACCAATACGCAATAACAAATTCGAATCTAAAACGGTTCGAACATTTTTAATATCGAAATAGATAAAAATATTTATAACAATGTCTGAAATGTTATCAATTTAATACACCTAAGTACTCAATGAAGACTAAACGTAGTTGAAAACGAAAAATCGCATTTAAAGAGTACAGTAGAAGCCGTTCTTCCGGTTAAGCCCTAATCCTATCTCTCTCCCCCCGCGGGGGAATTTCGAAAAATCCCTTCTTAGTGCACGCTTTCATGACGTACCCTAACTGCGTACCAAATTTCACCTCTTTTTAAGTTCAGCGTTTTGCTCTGGGCGATGATGAATCAGTCATTCAGTCAGTTAGTCAGTCAGGACAAGTAATTTTATATATTTAGACTAGCTGGGTATTTATTTGTACCCGCTTCGCTGGGTTTTTATTTGTTCGTACATTTATATGTAATATAGACTTTTTATATATAAAAGACTGTTTTTTTCTCTCTACATAATCTCTCTCTGATTCGATGCGTTTCCCTATAATTTTCAAGTTGCTCTTCTGTCTGATCATTTCTGTTTCGATATGATTCGAGACCGCAAAAATTCTTTCTTACGCTTTGGCATTGTTTTTTATATGTTTACTTTCCACACTTCACTATTCACTTTTCGCTTTCTACTTTTTTTTTTTGTTATTCGTAAACTTTTACTTATGAAAAATCAACTGAAGTGTGTGCGTCACACGTCTCCAAAAGCCATCTCCACTATTCACACATAACGGTCCTCGACTATTCTAAAACATCTTCGACTATTCGAAAACATTTAAGATTAAATTATAGTCAAACTTACCCGTTTTCACAGAATGAAAGAATTACGTTCCCGTTTCCAGATTAATTAATTAATTAGAGAATTTTTACATGGGTCTAAAAATATGTTCGAATTCCTGCAAAAACGCAAAAAACCTGCGCCTGTAAATCTTGCATGCCGCTTTATCTTAACACTTCCTTTGTTACTGAACAATTCCATTGTTAACACTTCTGTAACCGTTGGGTCGGTATCTCTTCGATACCACGTGAGGATGACACCACTGTATCTTAGGTCGATACAGAGACCACACGTTCGCGCGAGCGGTGACGTACGAGGTTTAGACCCGGAATGCAGTGAAAAGAGAGAAGAACGGAAGAAACTGCACTCAAAGATGTTTAAACATAAACAACCGTTTATTTATATCAAACCTACGTTAGTTATACATCAGAATTTAAGGTTACAACGTTATTATTGACTACATATCAGTTACGTTAATCGTGTTTATTCTAGTTCAATGTCTAGTTCCTATCAAGTTCGCGATTGGTTTACGCGGAGAGAGAGAGAGCGTACAATAGTGCGCGGGCAAGATAAATACCTTATATTATTCTGTTGTTCGAGTAATAGCAATAAAGTCCCACAGTTCTCTTCGAAGTTAAATAGGTGAATTGTTGATATCTTCGAGTTTAGTAGGTGAGGAGGAGGTGTTGGTTGACGAACAGGAACAGTCTCTCGAAGAAAATCTCGGCCAGGCGTACACACACAATGAATTCATAATTTCCACACCCTTACTCATCGTGCCTGTCCTTTTTATACGAAGTCCTCTTTTCGGGTCTTTCCCCGATTTCGTCAGGGATGACGATATCCCTGGACCAATGAGGTGACGGGTGACACAATCGTGACACAGAGATGTACTCATGTCAACAAAGAACCCAACTCGTGGGAATCGAGGGTTAACCAAATTTTATTGATTTTATGTTTCCTCCTCTCTTTTAATTCTTTTATAACTCGTTCCATCTTTATAAAGTTGCATTTAAAGTTTAATTAAAAATTATAAAAGATTAAAGTTTTTAACACGAAATTTCTGACCCTTACACTTCCATTATTGACACTTTCATTGTTAAACATTTTCGAAGTAGACTACTTTCAACTCCCATATCTCTCACACCCTTATAGCTATCGAGACGCAACTACCATAGTGCACTATAGGAGACTCGGGGCTACTACCACGTCTCCCATCGAGAATTAGGTTTAGAAGGTTATTTTTTACGCAAAATTACCCACAATCTCACACAGATTTAAGGGACGTACAGCGCTACGACGAATTGCCAGCTTTTGCTGATTGGTTGGTGTTTGGGAATAATCATATTATATAAAAATGAACGAAATGCCGTGATAATTTGATTATTTTTAGGCTTCGAGCAAACCGCGCTATATCGAATCAGTGTGAATCGAGGCAGCGTTAAGCGGGGTTTTACCGTATACTGAGTGTTATATCCTGTGGTGATATTCAGCGGGTTCGCACAGGTTCGGCCGAACCCGTTGTTAACATTTTCAAAGTTTTCCGAACCCGTTGTTAAACACACGTAACATTTCTCAGTGGTTTTCTTTCTTTTAAAAAATATATTAAAATATACGTATTATACTCTGTAACACTACTAAACTAGAGCCTTATACCCCGTTCGCCTGGTGCAACCTCCATCGACCGTTTCAATCTCGACTAAAACGAGGTTCAATCGCGATCGACTCGAGAGAGTTCTCGAAACTAGATCCAGTCATAAGAGAGATCCGACAATCCCACGCGCGCGAGAAAATACAAGATGGCTGCGGAACACTGGTCGGGCTATCGACAGCGAAATAAGAAAGATATTGCATTTCGAGAGACGATGACATCTGTCTATTATTATAATAATACCTAACGATAAAATAAATGATTTAGAAAAGTTTTTCTTGTTTAACTGCTTTCCCTATGACTTTTTCTGATTAAAAAATGCGAATTTTTATGTTTATAAAATATTTTGAATGAAAAACAATTAAAATATGTACAAAATAAACCATTTTGAACACTCTTTTTATTATTTATCAAAAAAATATAGTTCTGGCATAAAAAATGTTAAATTTTAACTGACTTAATTTTGCTAACGCATCTTTTTTATTTATATGGGTATCTTAAGGCCAGTTTTTGCGCTAATGTTGCTAATGCACCATTTGAGCGAAAAAAAAAAATTGTTAAGAAAAATTTTCTATTAGCGAACCCTTTGTTAAATATTTCGAATATCATCACTGGTTATATCTGAAAATACAACAAAAATTCACATAAAAATTCGTTATTTTTGACTTTATATAAAAGTTTCTCACTAGCCATTTAATATTTGCATAGTTTTGTTTCGCTAAGTACGTTGCTGACTAGTTTTTTGTTACAATCGTGTTCCGCATCAAATAAAAATTTTAATAGAAATTGACTAAGTAGAAATTGAGAAAAATGAAAAGCGAAGGATACGCGGAGGAAGCATTTTATTAAGAAATGCGGCTGCACTGCCTACGATAAATAAACCTAACAGAGTGTTTTCTTTATCGTTCTTATGTTATTCTTTATCGTGGCCTTTTCTTTTCCGACGTCGAATTCAAGAGCAAAACAAACTTTCTTTTCCTCACAATGTGGCCGTTACTTCTACGGTGAAGCCCCTTCCGGCTTAGAGTGTGCTGCTAGTAACAACAGAGCGCTGTTCCTCCACTTAGATATTACAGCTCCGTGTGTATTCACACACGGAGCTGTAATATCTAAGTGCTATATAATATAGCTAATATCTAAGTAATATCTAAGTGCTATCTAATATCTAATAATAGCTAATATCTATGTAATATCTAAGTACTAAGTAATATAGCGAGTTCGTCTGCAGAGGGGGCTGAAACCCGATATTCAAAATTAACCGACAATTAAACGGATAAATAAAATTCTAGACTGAAAACGGAAAAGCAAGAAATTTCCGCTCACTCGGACTAATAAAGAGTGAAGATTGTCCGAGATAGCGAGGTGTTTTCTCTGATGCGTTACTAATTCACCAAATACAGTAATATAATTCACGGTATCACACATTTCCGTATTTAAAAACACTGGATAATAACAATTTTGTTATAATTATAGTTACTCGTTTATTACAATCTTTCGATTGTGAATAAATTTTAAATTACTGTACAACTTTTTAAAATAGTTTGTATGAGTTATGCCAAGCCGAGCTGACAGGGTCCGAGTTACCGGGGTTTACTGTACAGTACAGTACATAATACACTCTCGAATAATCTCTTACTCCGTGAAGTTTCAATAAAAACGACAGAAAATGGAAAATTTTACTTGTCACAACAATTTCTCATACAATAAATCACGCGTATACTTGCTGTATATGTACAACTGTACTATACATAAAAAATAAAAATACAGTAATCTACTTTTTATTCAGATTCAAAGTAAACAGCAGTGGAATAACCCAATTAATGGCATTTATCTGAATCATTCGTAGAATAATACGATGCTATGATAATGATTTTAATAAATATCACGAATTAATATTATACAATCAAATACCATTAAATTATCTTTCTACGATACACTGAATTTATTCGAAAATCTAATTTCGCGTAATGCATTACATCAAACTTCGATATTCACACTATTGGCGAATATTGTACTAAATTGACAAATCCAGTCACTAACAGAGGACGCATTGCCTGGTAAAGAGGCTTTAATACAGTTTGATATTGTACAGGGTGTTGGCCCAACCGACAATCCTCTTCGACTTAATGAGGATTGGAGAAAGAAAAATGTTTTCAGATTAAACGTTTTTTTGTACTTACATTTCGTAATTTATAAATTTTATAAGAGTTTACATTAATAACGTGAAATATTTAAAAGTATATTTAATTGGAGCTATTAAAAGATATTTGTAATTCAACGCAAGCAATAACGGTATCGTCTTTCGAATCTCGAACCAAAACTTGAAACTTTCCTAAATTTAGCATCTAAGAAAAAATTGAAGAATAAATTCGTTTTGCTGTATACATAAGTAATAATGAAAGTAGATCAAGTAATACTTACGCTAAAAACATAACCATTATTTATTTTATACTGCTCAGAATATTGAATGATGTCACCAGCCTGAACGGGACAACGAATACCAAGATGGCAGATGTTCCCTACAGGGTAAATGAAAGGTATTTTTGTCCCTTTTACCGTATCAGTCAGAAGAGCCTGGGCGTATGCACTTTCAAACGGTATGACTGTAATTTAAAATTAGATTTTATATTACTTTTCCATACCAAATAGTATTAAAAAGTTCGAATATATAAGATACTAACGAGCTTTAATTGAGACAGAAATTGAAACCAAGCTGCCAGGAAAAATACTACACTTATCCGCCTCGTCATTCACACATCCTTCAATACTCAGACTAAGAACCTCTCCTCCGGGAGAATCTAAAAGTTTATAATTGATTTATTAATTTAGAAAAATGGTAAGTCTACGCTGGAATTGTAAATGCCATTACTTACCACATCGAGTGAAATCGACTGAATTGACGATTCCTAGAACAGAAAATAAAAATAAAATGGAAGTAATTGTATAATGCATTTTGTTGATGGAAAACAAAAGTAATATGAACAGATTTGCAAACGTAACTATATTTATAGGTTTTCTTTGTTTTTTCTATTTAATTCCTATATCTAACATTACTCATCATAAGTGTTAATGAATCATTAAGTATATATCTTCTATTCACATTTATATATAACAAACAATAAATAATCTTTTTAATTTTATTGCAAATTTTTTATATTTGTTTTAAGCAATTTAAGAAAAATATTAAGTAATTTAATAAATATTACTTTATTTAAAGTTAGTTGTAAATTTGTGGATCATTTGCAGATGAATCGACTCTTGGGTTACAACTTAATATTTTTAATATTTGTAAGGCAAGATGCCAAAGTTTTAATGTATCTATTTTAACATGTTGTATGTACCAAAAGACGAAAAGATTTCAAAGCAAAATGAATAAAGTAACCGTTTCCTTTGTGGTACTTAGGTGGAGCAAGGGTGACTCTGATGCCTGCAAGGGAAAATGATGACCATCCAATATAAAAAATGTAGTTTGATGTCTGTATAATCTTAGAAGCTGCTTTTTTCATAGAATACTGTTATCCCAGTTTACTCCTGAACGAAGTCGAGTCTTATTTACGTATTGAACACATTGAAAAGCGTGACAGTCGTTTAGAGTTGACTTTAATACAAGAAGCCAACTTTGACAGGAATTTATAAAAAACAACAGAGATGCTCTTTTTGAAGAGTTCTTAGAAAACATAATTTTAAAATAATAAATAAATTCAGTGAACCAATTTACGATTCAACTCTGGGCAAAAGTTGGATTGAATCTATCATTACTGGCTCCTCACTCACTACAAAAATCACATGGTGGAGGGAGCAGAAGATTTTGTCTGACCACAGAGTCATCTTTTGCGTTGAGCAGTTGCCTCAATAAAAGCAATTCTTTTTGCTTAAAAAATGCAAACTGGCGAAAGTTTTATGGTTTAATTCAGGAAAAATTGAATAACTTCTATACAATAGTGCATCTCGACACTATGCAGGAGATTGATAAATTATTTTTTTCTAATTTCGTAACATTCTGCTGACAACAGCGCAGAAATCCACTCGTAGAAAAGTTCTTCTGATGAGGACAGTGCTTCGGTGGACCGCACTATTGACAACTCTGAAAAAGCATTTGAATTCTCTTAAACGCAGATATTGAATCTGAATCTGCAGATTCATTCGAAAAAATTAATGTATGCGTTCTACAAGCAATCCTTTGGAGAAATGGAGACATCAAAGTTTAATTCTTGACAGAACTACTGCAATACTAAGGAGAATGTTGATTCGTAGAAAAGACTTCGTGGATCAACACTCCCTCTAGATTATACAGAATATACAGGATCTACACAGGGAAAACAATGATCATATACTACCGGCGCATCCATCATAATTACGAAATCAAAAGTGCCTTATTGACACTGGCAACATAACTTTTCTCTGAGGATAATGTTACGGATGAATATCTCGATCATAAAGCTACGAGAGCAAAGTTCCAGAGATCTTGTTCAGTTTTAACTGAAATTGAATTGAATTTTCTTAAATTAGTTCTTTCGAAAATTTATTTTTAATGAAAAAAAATATCTTTTAGAAAATTATATAACCTCTGATGTAATATGTAACATTTTTATCGATTTTTATCACCTTATAAGCAATAAAACGATTCTATAAACAGAACAGTAATAAATTTCCTATGATTAATAGGAAATTTATTACTGTTCTGTTTATAGGATAGCTAGTTTGAAAAAAATTGTAAACCTACAAATTCCGTTTTTGTCTGTCTTTGCACTGTCTGTCCTTCCTTAATCTCGAGAATGGAGAAATTAAATAAGAATATGAAAAATATGATTAAAAATTGCAGCCCGATATTGTGACGATGTCGCAATAATTCTTGCTTGTTATTGTTGTGTATCGTTTAAGCTGATATTTAATTTCTGAGTTATTTATCGTTAAATACTGTCAGCAAATTTAACTTTTTGCTTCAATAATAAATATATTTTTGAAATATTAAAAAAGTTAACGGTATGACGTGTTTTTATTTTAAATCCATCTATTCGCTTTCCATTTATACTTCGTTATAACATTTAAAACATGCTTCTATCTAAATAACGTATGGAATAAATATACTCTGAAGCCATTTTATATTTATTGCTATGTATATTTGTGTGAGAATCCAAATATTTTAAGCTGAAATATTCTAGATATTTACTGAAAATTATTTAAAAATTAAATATTATATTTCGATAAATTTTTATCAAAACTAAAAATCAAAGAGAACAAGAAACAAATGTATCCTGTTATGACAGTCGGTTCCCGAGAGATGTTTATCTCTCATGACTAAACCAAAAAGACTCATCATGACACCCAGTCAGATGATGTTAAATTTTAACATCCATTGGATGAGAAAAAGAGTATAAATACAGGATACGCGCCAAAATCCGTGCACATTGCACATCGTCCAATATCCTCTTATTATGAATTTGTGCGCCATACTCCCGGGGATCGGAACTTCCTTCTATCAAATAGAATGGGAAAAGTCAAATTATTACAGAGGTAATATAATATCGTTTTTAAACTCTGTCTCTCACGTGTAGATTAGGGATTTAGATATTTAAGATATATCAATTGTTGTATTCGTTTGTTATCTTATTAAATCTTGTTATATTATTTTAATATGGGTTTACCTCTTGATTTGATCTTATTGCTTGCCTACACAACGCTCCGCTAATAGGAATAGCCCTCCTATTTAAATGCGCGTTAATCCGCTAAAAAGAGATTAACTAGTGTCAGCATCTTGATGTAATCGAGAACACACGATCTCGATCTTCACTTTCACTCGATTTAGCCATCCTTTGACGTAGAGATCGGATCTCACAGATCTTGTGCAGATTAAGTGGTCGTTAGGATTCATCCTCGAACCCCTGCTTATCTCACATTCGTATTATTTATTTAGTAACAAGTATTTAATAATAGATAGTGGAATGTCTGTCTGTAGCTGTCAACGAGTCATCCTCGACCCCCACGACAGTATCAACGTAATTTTATTTAGTTGTTTTCTGCCTGGTATTATACGCAATCCTAATTAAGCTGATATTCGTGACGAAGAACACTGAACTAAACTTGATCAACGAACTCTATATTGCTAGTTTGCATAAAATTAGCGTAAGTAACTTTAGTACTTAGTGTATTGGAAGTATGCAATATCGTAAGAGAAAATGCAGGCGGTTTGCTAAAAGCCTGTGAAATTCATTTACATGCCCTCATCCAGAAAAGGATGCTCGTGGCTGATCTGCAGTGTAGAAATCGTTTACTTAATCAACTAACACGTTGTCACAGAGCTTTTCATTTAAAAAAAACTTAAAATATTAAATTTATTTTATGTTTAAATACGTATAACATCAAAAAAATCATTTATATTCAAAAGTCTTATCAATGTTTAAGTTAGTATTTCCATATATTTCATTAATAATCCGGCCTAATCGAACGGCAGTTTATGAATTTATTATCTCGAATCTCGGTAGTCAAGAAAAAAAGTATCTTGTGCAATAATTCTATTTTAATTGCAGATGTGGAATGTGGAATTGACGATTAACGCGAGATCAGGCAATGGTTGTTCATCTGTTAATGAATTGTAAAGAAGGTTTTTCGATTTATTTTATTCCGAAATTTATAAGATAACGTACTTAGTATTCACACCAAGGAAACATCTGCGCAAACTTTTTCCTAGTGGCTGAAGTTTGAAGTAAAATTTTATCCGAAAATCGAAACCGATACTCATAATAATATGATTACTAAATGTCGTTGAGATTTACTCGATAGTTACTTCTACAGACAGTTCTGAGTTATGATCATCCTATAATAACTTTAATTACTATCATATGTTTTTAATTTAAAAATTTATAATTTGCAATTTTTATTCCACGAAACAACTTAAATTTGAATAAACAACAATATATACGAACCGACAAATTTACTGCTTTCATTTTATTATAATTCCACGTAATCAATATAAATAAGAAGCAAATATCATACATATATGACGTAGTCTTAGAAGCAGTAAAATGCAATTTATCATATTTCACCTCAACTTTTATTATATTTCAATTAATTCACGTGACATTCATTTCATTACAAAAGTTGTGGTTAGTCATGTTCGTCTTCACGTATGTAAGTGACTTTAAAGGTTTTTCGATTCTACTAACTGCGGGTTCGCTTAAAGGAGAGCTTGTAATATACAAATAGCCAACTGCATTTGCTTCGGTGGAGAACCAATTTCCTTTTATTGCTCGATTGTTCCCGGAAGTCCGACAAAATTAAATGTGAAATTTATTCCACGTGTGTCAACTCTATAGTTACAATTTTTAGTATAATAAATCGTGTAAATGGCGTATTAATATACTGCAGATGTAGATATTTCAGCTCCTTACCGGTCATCGCGAATACTCAGTTATCTCAATCTATACAGACACAAAGCCTACGTACCCATGGATGATCTTTGCATAGATTATAACATAAAATGTCCTTTAAAAGCTGGAAAATCTTATGAATTGCTTCTACATATCAATATCACACTTCCTCGCCTGGTATGTTTACAAATAATTTTCTTATAACTGATTTTTATGTAATTTTGATTGTTAATATTTTATTTTGTTTGTAGCTTCGGTATTTTAAAACTGAGGAGATAGTTTTTGAAATCAAGGACAGAAGAGACGATCAAAATATTGCCCGTGCAAAGTTGAAAATTAAATTCTTTGAAGTTCCTTCCTATCGTGTTGAATGCTAAATTTTTTATGTTCGTTTGGTTTCGGTCATTTTTAATAAACCTATAGAAAAAATACATCTGTCTTTAAGAAAATAATTGGCATCAGCTTTCAGCCTTCTTCGTAAACTTTCTTCATTCTTGCGATTTCTGTTTCAATTAAATTTAAGGAAGAGAGTTTAGCACAAAATGGCCAAAGTATTAACATAAAATTATAATTATCATCGTTATCATCTTCAGGTAAATAGGTTCTTCAAGCTGTCGTGTTATGCCTGAACATTTGCCCCATGATGGTAACAATTTTCAGATATCGTTATGGATTTAAATAAGCTCTAGATATGTTAAATATTAAAAGGAACCGTTAAAATTAAAAATTATAGCTTGAATGATTAATTAATTAATTTGTATTGGTTTTTTCTGAATTTTGCAGCACCATCTTTAAGAGTAGGTCATGTATAAACTAAAATATGACGTCAACCCAAGTCACTGTACTGCGAAAAAATAAAACTTAAGGATCAATTACAAGAAGAACCAATAAAAGTTTAAGAATTTCCAGTAGTTGTAACGTTATCCAATTACCCACTATACAATACATGCACATTCATATCATCCCCTCGACCCCCTGCTTATCTCACATTCGTATTATTTATTTAGTAACAAGTATTTAATAATAGATAGTGGAATGTCTGTCTGTAGCTGTCAACGAGTCATCCTCGACCCCCACGACAGTATCAACGTAATTTTATTTAGTTGTTTTCTGCCTGGTATTATANAAAATATGACGTCAACCCAAGTCACTGTACTGCGAAAAAATAAAACTTAAGGATCAATTACGAGAAGAACCAATAAAAGTTTAAGAATTTCCAATAGTTGTAACGTTATCCAATTACCCACTATACAATACATGCACATTCATATCATCCAGCAACACAACCCTTTCATTCGCCTTTCATTCATTCAAGACATCCAGCGAAATACTAGAATTTATTCTTCTCTTCAATCATACAAAACTCAACTGGAGCATACACGTCAAAACACAGAAACCTCGTACACCCTACTTTCATTCTCAACCACACCATCTTGTCGTTGAGGCATTAAATAAATAAAAACTGGTCGTCTGATTAAAGATAAGTGAAACGGAATAATATGAATTAAAGAAAAATTTCCAATATCTACAACGCGAATTTTTATATTATTTATATGAATTTATTATCCACCCATTAAGCATTTTATAATTAAATGAATCTAAGAAAATAGATCAGCCAGTTTTCTAGAGATGAAATTTGCATCTAACGGCAACCAATTGGTAGCGTACTGTAGAATCATAAGTGTATTTAATTGTTTAATTGTTTTCCGTATAAATATTCGTTTATTTCTCTTTCTTTCACTTCCGTTAACAATTGATCGTATACGTAACTAAAAACTTAATGATACGGAACAAAATTTATAATTAAATAGATTAAATTTAACGTCCGTGCCGCATCTAAAAGAGTACAGTAAAATCCGAATTCGGGGTAATTCTTTACCCCCTCCCTCTCCCCCGCGGGAGAATTTCGGAAAATTCCTTCTTTGTCTATATTCTCGTGACGTACCCAAACTGTGTACTAAATTTCAATTTTCAACTCCTAACCGTTTGGGTTCTGCGCGTATTATTATTATTGTCAATCCATCTCGATTATATTATAAGATATGAATTTTTAATATTTTACAATAAATATTACTCGGTTTATTTCCGTTATAACTCAACGTTTTGTAACATTAAATCCATCAAGATTCAATTAAAATATTGGCTAAGCTCAGCCACCTCTACTGCCAACAGAGGAACTTAGTATTGCCGACTTTAAATCAAATTTCTAGTTAGACAATTTAATAAAAATAACTAAATCGTAATGTTTCCATTATAATTCTTCGATATTTTATAACTTAATATTATCATTGAAAAAGTTAGCCAGTATAATTTGGGAAGTTCGTGTAGCTAGATTGTTCCTACATTCACTAAATCCAATTAAAATTACTCGTTAAAGTTTATTCCATTCGTACTCAATAAAAGGCTTAAAATACTGTATTTAATAAGCATAGTTTCGGTCGGTGTGTTCCATTTCCAGTCGAAATATTTAAGTTATTTCATTTTCAAATAATTTAATTATTTTTGGCAATAGGTCTATTGTAAACTTACCTCTAAACCTCTTATTATATTTCGTGGTTTTGTCTATCGTCTCATCAGATATTTTCAATTTTCAATAATTCCACTACGTCGTTTGAATAAGGAGTTTAAGGGTCGGACATTCGAAATGATGAAAATTCTTCACCTTATCTTTATTACAACCGCTTCGAGTCCGTTATATAAAATTCTATATAATCGTATGAATGTATGCAACTGAAAAGGAGGTTTAGATAATGCATTTTTAAACTACGGCGTTAAAAAGTAAGTTTAAAGTTGAGAAATAATGTACGTTTAAGCAAGAATTGCTTTCATTGTAAACTTCCTATAGGACAGGAAGATATACGTAATAAATATAATGCGGTTCTATTCGTTTAAATGTACATTATATCGTCGATTTTAAGATTCTATACATTTAATTTTTAGTTATATTTGTCAATAGAATAAATTTATAAGGGAAATGAAAGGAAGGAAAGGAAAACGAGTAGATATTTAGACAGTACTTAATAAACAATAAACAATTTATTATGATGTTTTCGACACACCTTCATACTGCGGGTTTCTACTTTAGTTCTAGCATTTTTAAAACTTACAATACAATAACGGATTAAAGTAGAAATTAAATACCTAGTAATAACCGAATAAAGTGTATTATTACTCTGTAAAATACTAATAAAATTACTAATACTTTATATTTTCTCGTAGGAGAAACTTTTCTAATATTAAAAAATTACAGAAATTCTTAGATCATACGACGTGTCATTGCCGAGTGGAAAATGAAATTCAACTTTTTCATGTGCTTTTCGAGTGAAAGGCAAACAATGGATTGGTCATCTCTCCCGTCTTTCATCTCCAGATATATCTCTGTTTTTATTATGTCGGGCTGTAAACAAAAATGAAAATAGCAATATTAATTTACAGTACAAATTATAAAGCAAATTATTATAAGAGTTTTACCTTGGAATCCGGTAAATCGAAAAATGTGTGCAATTTATTATAGATCCCAGCTTTTAATGAACATTTTATATTAAAACCGGTGCAAAGATCTGTTTTAGGTAGATAGAACGTTTCTGATCTGTTTGTGTAAATATCGGTAATTCGAGACAATACATAAGGCGATGGAATATCTTCGACTGCAAAAACGTTAAAATTATTAGGCCTATATGTATGCCATATTAAATAAAACATACTACAGTAGAGCATCGATTATCCGACCCCCGATTAACCGTCACTTCGGTTAACCGACCGCGTTCTAGTCGGCAAATTCAAATGTCCGCTAGTGATGTGGGGCTACAATATTTGGCTATGTCTTGGCTACTTTAATATTATTTTTACGTGTTTTAGCTGGCAACACTGGATCGACCATGAAAGGGAGCCAGTATTTAAACGAGGCTTAATTTTCTAATTTTTAACGATACAATAGCGACAATTATTATTTTAAAAAAAATTGATAGGCTTAACATGGAGGAAAATTCAACGCGAAGTAGGTTAATAGGTTAATAGCGATATACTAATATACTAATTGCATGGGATATAATAATATACTACACTAATAATGGATTTTTTCATACTTTTCGGTTATCCGACCAACCCCAGTCCCCAATTGAGTCGGATAATCGAGGCTCTACTGTATTTATAAAAGTTTACATACAAGAAGTGAACTTTACGTAAAAATATATGGTGTCTGCCGAAACACTCGGACAATGTCGATTTAAATTCGCCTCGCGACAGCTCTCTTCATACACGTTTTCTACTTTCCCTTTAGGAGAATCTGCAAACGGAAACAGAAAAATTTCTATAATTGTATTTGTAAAATTACCGAGACGAAAGTTTTTTTTTTTTTTGTTTTGCGTAACATTTTACAAAGTGGAAACACCAGATAGTAACAAAATCGTAATAATAAAAACACTTAGATGCGTGAAGTACCAGTAGGCGTCACTTACCGCACGTTGTGTAATCCAGATTGGCCTGGACGAATGGGAATATAACGAGAACCGAAGCAAAATATAACACGAAATGCATTTTGCTACTTTTAAACTCGTGTAATTTTTAGTATTGTTTGAAGTTTCTTATATGACAAAGTAGCATGAAGACGAAAAAAAATTTCTCGTCGTCATGCCACTTCAGCATATAAGAACGTATATAAATAACGTCTACGATCTTTAGACTAAAATGTTTTAATTATTTACACAAAAAATAATTACTAAATGCTTTGTAGTTTCGAAAATATTGTAATCTATTCGAAGTTAAAATGTGCCAAGAAATAAAAATTAAACTCTATACGATCAAATGACGAATATAACAATTCTGTGTAATATTATTACAGACGATAATTAAAATATATGATTCGATTGAAATTAAATTAAGAACATAAAATTGACGTGTCACACTGACTAAACACTTCGAATTCTAAATTTTTACATTAGTTATTTTATAATTTAAGCAAAATTTCAAATTTAGACCTACACGGAGGGCGTGGGAAACGACTCTTTCATTGCATTCCTCGCATCAACGATCAAAAATTTTAAACAAAATATTATTTGTTGGACGAGTAACTTATGAAGTTGCAGTCATCGACCGTTTAAGAACAGTTTTTTCAACAAGTGTCTTTTATCATCTGGTCCATTCACAAAGGCCGATAGTCAAGTGGGTGACAGAAACTTAAAAATTTTCGCATTTTTGAGTTTTGTAAATATTGATAAATCACACATATATAAATATAGGCCTATATACAGCTAAGACTTATCAGGTGTGAGTTAGAAGTTATAAACTATGGGAAAGAGAATGTTTCCTCAAGGTAACATAAATGGTCGCTTTCTTATCTCGTACAAAATCTTCATAATATTAAGCTTTAAGCAATCTTTAAACCGGGTACAATGAGAACTTCGGTCCCTTTCGTTCTAGAAAAACATATAATTTAACGTTATTTTTTAATTATATTAGAAATTAATTAAATTAGAAATACCATGTGTTATGCGAAAAATGTATTGATATATAGGAATTTTCAGTCTACAGTGCTATTCAAAGAAATTTATATAATATTTTAGTACCTGGATGTAACGAATATTGTAAGGTTTGATAGAAACGGTGGGAGGATTGAGTCGACGGTAGTAATCTTTGCATAATTTGGCCACTTATCATTTTACGTGGCTGTTAGTTATATCGTAGTATTTCGTATAATGTGAATTTATTGAATTTCACAAAATATATGTCAATTTTATACGTTACGTGTTTGTTAATTACAAAATAAAATTAATAAATATATTAAAATTGTGTTTTTTGTTTATTTTAATATTGTGTAATTATACCTTTTTGTTTTAAAATCATTTTCGGATCACTTTTTTAACCGTCTCTCTCTTAAATGATTATACGTGTATGATTATGTAACAAATCAGCAATGCCAACGTACAAGTTATAATGCGCCAAAGTTATAGTGAAAATTTTAATTAATACAGTAAAACTTCGATGTAACAGACTAATTGGGGAGTTGCGGCGTTACTTAAAGCCGAAATAGTTATATAATAAAGTACATTTACTCAATGCGCGTGTTGAAACATTGACAAATTATTTAGTTTATCTGTTTTTACATACGTAAATACGTTTGTGAAATTAAAATTAGGTAATAGAAGCTCAAATTCACAGAAAAAATTTTTTTGAAAATTACATCATATAATCGGCGATCTTCGAATATGAAATAATAATAATAGTAACGATAACAACACTTTGTTAATCTAGTTACACATAAAAAGCACTTTAAAGTGAACAACGTGATAATTTTCATATACAGTATATCCGGTGTGTATGTTATATGTAGCCTAAATATGACATACACACCGGAAATTTTATCCGCTAAATCCGATGGAAATCCCTAAGTGGAGTTTTACTATGGTTTCATTATTTATTCAATATTTTATTAGTTACAAATTAACACGGTAGATACATTCCGTTTTATATGAATTCCGTGTTTTACGAGTCACTTAAGTACGTAAGCCAATCACAGCTCGGCACGTGTGCAGTTTAGGGACTAAGGCTGTTTGAAAGGTTTCCTTCCATAAAATTAATCGATTCTAGGCTAATTTGACTCAGCATTTCCAAAACACGTATAATTTTTTGGAATAATTCATATAAACTATGCTATAAACAAAAAATTGTAGGATTACTTACCGGGTGTGCACCGTTCGGCTACGTCGTTGCTTAAGCTCGTTTTCATCGTGAAGCTTGTCATCGAATGGCGTTAGCGTGCTTCCTGATAAATTATTTTTTTTGCGAAAAATTCGCTGAACTTTGGAGACATCATTAATATAAATATAAATTTTATGACCGTTAAATAATAAAAGGGTTTTTAGTAGGTCCGCCGCTCGTTTAAACTCGACAGTTTGCGCAATATCCACTATTGGTCTAGGTTCGACCAATCTTGTCGTGACACGAGTCGGCGATGACGTTTTACTGTATTATACGAGTCTCTTTTAGCGTGTTTATACGAATACGATCGCAATTTTTTCGCCGTTACATACGAATCCGAATTATATGAACCCGTGCTATAGGGGGTATACTATAGGTCTACTGTATTTAATTATAATTTTCTTTAAAAGTATATTAATACAATTCAAGAATATTTTGTACCAGGTATGTATATCCACCACACATTTTATTTTACCATGTAAGTTTTTACAATTTTATTTTTAATTTTAGCCCTTATATCGTGGTTAGTGATTCAAAATGTAATTGTTATATTAAAAATATTTTTAAAAAGTTTTGGCTCGAGACCATATAATGAAAAAGAAAACATTATTAAAAGAGAAAGACCAATGCCTAAATCAAATATAAATACTTCAATTAAAAAATTTGTTGGCATTTTCGCGATAAAATTTATGAAGACGTAAAATGGCTTTGTGAATGCATAAAAATGCAAGAATTGTTTTGTCGGCCTCGCCTATTATTTTCAAATAAAATTAATGTGTGGAAGAATAATGGCTTTGAGCATTTAAATAATTTCGGTAAAGCTGGCAAAAGACACGAAAATCGTAAATGTCATGTCGATTCTTTCGTAAAATTGCAGCAATTTAAAAATAAAAAGCGGAATATAATTTAACATTAGTAAATGATATAAAATAAATATTGAAAATTATAACGAGATAGTTACGGCTAATAGATAAATTTAAATTAATAGATGTTATATGTTTTTTTATCAAATCAAGAATTGGCATTTAGAGGGCGTAGAGAATCTATTAAATCTAATATAACAGAGTTAATTATATTGAACTTGCTTATATATTAAGTGCGTTAGGTAATCTATTAATTAAAAATACATTTAGAGAAGTCTACGGTTTTTACTGGCTTATCGAACAAACGAATACTAATGGACCCTGACGCGCAATTAACTGATTGCCCCTGTAAGTGGGCTTCTTACAGAAACACAGCTTCCCTATTATTAAATGTCACGGCACGCCACTGTTATAAACCCAGTTTTCTTTTTCTTCTATACCGAAACCCTCTGGCTGAGTTACATAGATTTCCTCACGCAGCTCTTCATTAAGAAAAGCTGTTTCAAAATCAAACTGCGTGAGTTATAAGTTATTCATTGCGGCTAATCCGAATGATTGCGCTCCTAGCGGTCGATGCATATTTTCCCCCGAAATCTACTTCACTAACCCGAGTGCAGCCTTTAGCTACTAACCTAGCTTTGAATTTACTTTTCCCTTCTAATTCCTTGTTTTTAAAAACCCATTTAGTTTTTATCGCTCTTTTATCACCAAGCAATTCACATAATGTCCACATCTTTTGATCTTGAATCTCCTTTAACTGTTTTCATAGAAATTGACACATCCATATGTACAAAATGTACAATGAAATCTCAATTCTTTACATTTCGAAAGTGTAGATAATTATATTGCTCTAAACATCGTATTATCACTTTTAACGTAAGTTCACAGTTATACTTTTTATATTATTTGTGTACTCAAATTGTTAACATTTTGCTAATATTATAGTATATACATAATGATTGGATCTGTAATCGATAGTTTGTCAAATGTTGAGATTTCATTGTACATGGATGTATCAATTTCATAAATATATAAGTTATATTACGACCTAAATTTTTAATGTTAATACAGTGTAACTTACACGCTTTATTGTTAAAATGTACTTGTAATGAAGCTGACGAGGAACTGTAGGTCCGAAATGCAAACTTTCTTTTTGGAAAATAAATTGATCTTTTAAGGCTGATCTTAAGTCAAAAAAAGGTGTAATAAATCTAGCAATGAAGAGATCAATATTGAACACACAAGAATAAACCTATGATATTTTCCATACATAGGTTCCACATATTTGCTGTACATTTAAAGATTGCGGCTAGATCATATGTGGCACCTCTTGGATGCTTTCCATCAGTTAAACGTTCTTGAAACAATTATTCTCTTTCTCCTAAATATACAACTCGCCGTACTTTCAAATTTTTGAAATAAATGTCTTTTGAAGAACGGCTGTTTAATTTTAAAACTGACTGAATTGAAAGAACCTAATTACAACAAGCTCATTCACACGTTCGTATATCGGTTTATGAGAAATAAATTACAGAAACTGACGGTTAATATTGCAGTTAATAATTTGCGTAGTTTGAAGTAGTGTTGAAAGAGTAACTTCTTTCTGCGCAATTCGATTTCTTCACTTTCGACGTTCTTAATTGCACTAAGGACGAAAGCACGGAATATAACCCATTCACCATCTGAAAATCGTATTTCAATGTAAGAAAATTATTTTTAATATTTCAAAAGTCTCTATAAAAACTACAGAAATTCTTCCGCTATATTCTCAAGTTAATGTGTCGTGGTGCCGATATCCGGCGTTAGAGTTGCACTTTGGTTTATCTATTTGGTAAGTACCGTTTTCAAGCATTTTTGTAACATTTTTTTACTGTTTTGTCAAAAAAAACTTATTTGTAATTTCATTTTTTATTATTTTTTACCTAAATATATAAAATTACTTGTCCTGACTGATTGACTACTGAATGACTGACTGATTCATCATCGCCCAGAGCAAACCG